TACGAGAGAGGCGAAACGGTTGCAGGCTGACCTCTAATCGCATTTTGGCAATCTGGGTGTTTCTCGGTTCTGTCTCTCCATGTCCCCTTCCCGTCGGGGAAGGCTGACATCACCAGGACAGGATTTGATGACTTGGCTGGGTGGGGTGATGGCTCCAGTTCTGGGTACCCCTTTGTCCTGTAGCAGGGGCGAGTGGGCAGTGGTTGTGCCTGTTGCTTGGGAAAGTGAACCCCATGCTGGTTTAGGGTCGGTTTGTGTCCTTCTGGCATCACCGTGTGTTTAAAGTTGATGGTTTTCTTTTTTCCTTTTTTTTTTTTTTTTAATGAATCGAAGTACGGTTTTTAGAAACAAATGTTGAGCTATGACTTATGGGGCACACTGTGCTGGTACTGTGGGTTGGAGGCTTTTGCTGAGGTGTGGCTCTGTTTCCTGTTCTGCAGGGCATTGAGTCTGTTATGTAAATTCCTTAGATAATCTTTAAGTAAAATCTTGCGTTTTCTGGAAAATCACAAAGAGGAGTGCAGAAAGTCAAAATGGATTTTGAACACAAGTGTTCTGTTACTAAAGGTGATTTATTAAATTTGAACTTTGTCTTTAGCTGCTAGCATTTCTACCTTTTTCTCCTCCCAACCCACTGTGTGTATGGAAAACCTCTTAATCATTGCACACAGATGTCAAAACATTAAAAAAAAAAAACCAATCCGAGTCCCAACACCTGTTTACAGGTGAAATCTGTGTATGTCACTTACCATACACAGCAGGCTTTCAATCCTACCCTGTTTCCCTGTGCAAGAGCTTAACAGATTGTATGTAGCCTGTCAATTCTCCGTTGTATTTGTTGCTGTTAACTGCAGTTAAATGGTTTTTATACTCAAATAATAATATTTTAAGACAAAAGGGTTACAGAATGCCTTTGACATACAAAAATTTCTGTTTCGTTAGTAAAAGCTGTCCAATAAAATGACTTTAAAAGGAGTTAGTACCTTGTGTTTTCCAGTATCTGTGACTAGATGTTTAAAATCCAGATGTTTTTTTTAATTACTAGGAAAGTGCATGTTTTACCATAAATAACTGGTTAGCCCCTTTGACTCGAGCCAGCAGAGCTGTGATGCTCTACCCATAGTGAAGGGAGAGGCTTCTGGAAGGATGCAGCTAGCACAGTTAAGCTTGGGGATAACCCATTTAAATTACACACTGAGCTGTGTATGCCATTGGATGCAGCAGTGGCCTCTTGATGTACAGAAAGAAGGTCATAAGCAGGTGTTTTAAATTTTGCCACTTAAAATTATGTAGAAAACAACCTGTATATCAGAGTGAGGCACCTTAATCTACTTGGCTGAATGGAAAAATAGTGATACTTGAAAACGGGCATTTTCTTGGTCAGAGATGGCAAAAATCTCTGTAATACTGAGCAGTAATTCCTTCTCATATCACAGCACAGTCTTTTCCGTTAAGCTCACAGTAGGCTAATGCTGGGTGCAGTGTGGTGGGGGAGGGCGGGTTTCAGTAGTGGTACATCACTAGGTGGCACACTTGTCATTAGTCCATTAATGTGCAAATACCCCCATGCAGTATTAGGGTCACTATGCTGCTGGAAATGAAATCTGATGTGATGTGAAACCCTAAACACATGTCATTAAGGATTTCGTGCCTCTCTGACTAATTGCAAGGGGCCTGCCCTGTGTCCTTCACTTGACCAAATCGGATTCTCCAAGCTGAAGGATGGCATGTGTGGTTCTTCATGTGCGGTTTCAAAACAAGTTAGCTTCTTTGCTTTTGGAAATGGCTGTGTGGTGCAGGTGAGTGGAATTTCCTTGCAGAGGCAGACTTCCAGGGGTTGAAAGTGGCTTTGCAAAAGTAATGATAAATTGCTACTGAAATCTACAGGAAGTATCTTGTGGCTTGATATAGCTGGAGGTAAACAATATTCTAAAATGTTCTATTCTTCGTGTAGGCTGATCAGCTGACTGAAGAACAGATTGCTGGTAAGTGTGTTGATGAGAAGCATTTATTTATTTTTTTTTTGCAAACTCCTGTGACTAAAAGAAAATCTACTGCCTCAAGCATAATGGAAAAAAAACAAACCCTTTCTGACAACTTCAAATCTGTACTAACACTTTTTAAAAAAGGCACTCATTTTAAGAACAAAACAAAAAAACACCCCACATTATGGAAAATTACTGGTTCATTGCATCTTAATTTAGATTGCTTATTATCTGTAGACCAAGGAACAATTTTTAGACTTCCAGACTTGAGCCAAGTCCTCCTGGATTTCCTGCAAACAGAAATAATTGCTAGATTCAAGTGAACTTCTTGAAGTCAAAGCAGACTTAGGTACTCTTTTTTTAATAAAGTGAAGATAAACTTGAAATGGCAACAGATAAACCTAAAATAGATTAATATAGGCCAGTGTCTTTTGAATAATTTCTAACATTGTAATTCAGACTGGAGAAGGCACATTATTTGGCCTTCTACAGACCAGTCACACCCACTTGTGGCTGAAACAGATTCATATTATCTGCTGCCTTAAAAATAAGTGGTGAATGACAACACTTACTGTTCCTGTAAGTCTGTTAATGATGAAGGGAACCTAGTGAGTCGCTTCACTTACCCCAGGTAGCTGCTGTTTGTGGTGCAGCTGTGCCTCAAGATATTGTTGAATATCAAGATCAACATAATATAACACATATTGAAATGTGTTAAGAGTTCTAATGCACATTAAAAGTTTGAATATACTATGCAAATTATGTGCTGGGAATGTAAAAAATATGTTTTATTAAATGTTAATTCTTTCAATACATGGACAATTAGAGATAATGTTTCTTAAAATTGTAGCAGGCATTGTCAGTCAAGTGCATTTTTAGTATGCAGTTTTCTCATGCTGGTGATGTTGCTAAACACTGGGACTGTTTCTGCCTTTAGAGTTCAAGGAAGCCTTTTCCCTATTTGACAAAGATGGTGATGGTACTATCACAACAAAAGAACTGGGAACTGTCATGAGGTCACTGGGTCAAAATCCAACAGAAGCAGAATTGCAGGATATGATCAACGAGGTAGATGCTGATGGTAAGTGTTGAAAAGGTAGTTACTAGTACATGACTTCCATACCTGAGCTTGGACTGCATAGGGAAGGTTCTGTGACATTGATCTCCTAAAGCAGTTTCAAAATACTCAATAGAATCTAAATTCGGAGGGGTGTAAATCTTGATGGCTCTGCACAGCAGCCAAAGATGCTAGCAGTATTAGTGAGAATCTAAAAAAGGGGAAGGGCAGAGACAAAGTTACACTGTTAGTCTTTTAATATTTTATGGGTTGCAGGCTTCCTATTGCTATCTGATTTGCCCTGACCTACTGTTAACCTGTGTTTCCACCCAGCTTTTCTGTACGTGTTTCGTCAGCCCATGTTGGTTTTAATAGCTGTACTAATGTCTGTGGCTTTTTCTCAAGTCAAAAATGCAGTAGGAGTGGAATAGTGCTAAATTTCGAAGAACTGAAAATGCAACAGGGAGAGGCTGTATAGCCTAATGTAGTATATTAGATCCCTAATAGATGGGATGGAGGGATTGGAGGCAAAGGCAGAAAAACATCCCGTGTGAAGTCTATCAATTATTTTAAATGGATGTCAGAAAGGGTAACTGCACATCTTGTTTCTGAGACCCCAGGCAGGCTAGGAGTTGTTAAAAGGAAAAATGCTTTCTCCTGCGCAGAAATACCAAGGCTTTGATCTTGTTTGTTGTTGTGATCATGAGTTTTTTTGTTAACACCTCTACAAAAGTATACTGGCAAGAGTATAGATTATCTAATTATCAGTCTACGTTTGCTTTCCGAAGTGTAAGTTGACCTTAATTGTTAACTCTTTGATGCAGATACTAAAAAAACTTCAGGGTTTGCAGTGTTACAAAGAGTTTGTATCCAGTGGCTTCTCTAGGTTGCGGTCCACTCGCTGCGCTAAGTAGATTAAAAATGAAAGGGAACTAAGGTGTTTAGATAAGTATGCCTGCCCAGCTGTTTAAACTTGTTCTATGGCAGAATGCTTTCACTGAGGAGTTTTCAAAGCTGAGTACAAGACCTGTGTTGAGATTTTTAACTGGTAGATAAAGCTGGCTGTGATAATAAATAGCTGGGTATGTCTCCATCTGGAATCCCTAAGCTGCAAAGGTTTTCTTAAACTGCATCTATTTGGTTTCTCTGCTATACTTACCCAATGAGTTTGTGTACTTCCCTCAAGCAATGGGTAGATCTTTTTTGTGTAGTGAGCTATTTAATGTGGGGCTTTTGGCACATAGGGCTGAGTCCTGACTGTACAAATCTAGTTTCTGCTGTTTTAAAGAAACTTTCTTCACCATACCACTTTTCTCATAGCTTTGAGCAGCCTGAAGTTTGAATCTCTACTTTGAATGGAAAACTTAAAAATCTTAGGGGTGAGGTCTGTATGTTACCAGGGATTTTCAGTTTTGCATCTATAGTTTTGTACCTGTAAGAACACCTGCTGCTAGGCTTATCAGAAATAACAAATAATGGCAGCATCTCTCCTGTCACTGGAATTTGCAGGTCCTTGTTAAAGGATGTGCACCTCTTAAAATGGTGCATTACTTTTGTGGTGTGCAACATAATGTTAAGGAAGTTGATTTTAACAAGGAACAAACATTTGAGCGACTTTAGCGAAGTGTTATTTCCTCAAATTTCAGATATCCTGGACTTGCAGTGCCAGCTTTACAGTACGTTCTTTTCTGGAATCTCCCACAGCAATTGGGAGGTTCTAAAGAAACTAAACAATTACTTTTGGGGAGTATGCCTTAGTACTGATTAACCTTGGAGCATCAGACTACTGCTTTGCTTGCAACTTGGGTGGCAAATGGTACACTTGACCTGGAGAGAACACAACAGTTGACTTTTGTTGTGCTGAAACACTGCTGTTTACAGCAGCTACTGCACAGTGTAATAGCAAAAAGGCAGTGGCAGCAGTCTGGGGAGAAGAATGGTTTATAGAGGATCTGTCAATCTTGTCATTGGCTAAGTTAAATGCCTGATTTTTCTTTTCTGTATAAAAGTAAGCATGGAAGTTTAATTCTTGGAAGTTTCTTTTCATTAAGGCAATGGCACTATCGACTTCCCTGAATTTTTAACCATGATGGCCAGAAAAATGAAGGACACAGACAGTGAGGAAGAAATCCGTGAGGCATTCCGGGTCTTTGACAAGGTATTAATAAAAGTGCAAATATTCTTTAAAGCTGTAATTATATCCAGCTCCTCTTCAGTGTGTTGTCCATCTGTATCTTGAAGGGGAAAAGGTCCTCTAGTAGAAATAGAGGAATTGACAAAAGAGCTGGGACTGTTCTGGAAACAGAACCAGAACTGTTGCAGACTGGTTCTGTCTGCTTTACACAGCAGGTCTAAGCTTTAGGCTCGTCCATGAGGAAAACCTTCTGGCCTTTTCTTAGGAGCAGAGATGAGCAGAACTCGATGGTTCTGGGGTGGGGCTTTTTTAGTTTTGATGGGTGGGATTTTTCTCTAGCTCAACTTTGGGGGAATGAGGGGAAGTTTTGTATGGGTGCACAAGGTTTTATACTTCATAGAAGCTTTCAAAGTTAAGGTGAAGTCACCAGTATTCAGAGCGATATGAAGCATTACATACTGTGTTTTCAAGATGTGGACATCAAGAGTGCTTTCAGGAGAACTTGAGTTTGACTCCCTCTGCTATCTTTAAGGATACCTGGGCATACATGATGAAGGCCTATTTTTTTCTAGAACAGGGGTTCCCATCTTTTGGTTGCTTGGATATTACAGATACTACAAGAGAATTGTGTTGACTAATGGGTGCTGCAGCTGCTAAGCTGATACATACACGTGTGGGAGAAGGCCTTTACTACTTCTTTTTATGGATAAAAGTGGCCATCTCTAGTACTTAACCAAAGATGCTGGAAAATTGTTCATTCACTTGGTTAGTACTTCACTGCCCTATGGGATTATTTCTGAAGACTGTATTTGTGTTTAAAGCCACTGAGGTAGCTTACTGGTGATGGTCATATGAACTCCTGTTCTAAACTAGTATAGTTTTCCTGTCTGTGGAAGAGGACAATGTCTCAAATGGCCAGGGATAACAGGGATAAGCTCTCTTTTTCTTGTATTGTGGTTTTTTGGTGGTTTTTTCTTTTTGGGGGGGTGGAGGTTGTTGGTTTGGTTGTTTTTTTGGGGGGTGTGTGTTTGTTTGTTTGTTGCTGTTTTGTTTAGCCACAAAGCTTTTCACAACTCCTTATAAGTAGAATTTAAAGGCTTTATTGGAGGGTTTGTTTTATATAACATCCAAGAAGCCTAAACAGTCTGGTTGTAGAGGTAGTATTACACAGAAGAGAAAGCTGTGTGCTGGTATGGAAATTGGTCTTTTCTTGCCTTGCCTAGGCAGTGAAGATAAACAAAACCCATTTTGTTTCTGGATTTATTTTTGAAAACACTTTAAGAGCATTACAAATACCTTGACAGCTACAAATCAGACATGCAGTTATTCTTGCAGGACAGTAGTTACATAGAAGGATATGGTGGCATGCATGCTTCATAAGGCAATGGCACTAGTATGTACTGTAGGGTTATAGAGTGTACCAGATCTGTGTATCTGTCCCAAGTGCCATAAGACTAGTTTGAAAGCGGTTACTGGAAACCCAGATGTAGTTTCAGAGTTAATCAATGCCAGGTCAGTCATGGTCTTTTTGCTTGCAACTTTTTCCTCACAGGATGGCAATGGCTATATCAGTGCAGCAGAACTACGTCATGTTATGACAAACTTAGGAGAAAAGCTAACAGATGAAGAAGTAGATGAAATGATCAGAGAAGCAGACATTGATGGGGATGGGCAGGTCAACTATGAAGGTAAAAAGATGCTTGTCTTGACTCAAAACAACTACTGAGTGAAAGCCTCTTGCATAGGGCATTAATTTCTACTACTGCAGACACCAGTTTATTTCTTTGTTTACTTCTGTGGACAAAGGCCTGCATGCAGTGAAAGGCTATTTTTGTGCCAAGTGTTCTTAAGAGACTTCTCAGTTGATGTACTCAAACAATAAATCACAGTGACTTTTTATCTTTTCAGAATTCGTACAGATGATGACTGCAAAGTGAAGAGACCTCCTTTACACCTTTTTTCCTCTAGAAGAATCAAATTGAATCTTTTACTTACCTCTTGCAAAAAAAAAAAATGTTCATTTATTCATTCTGTTTCTGTATAGCAAAACTGAATGTCAAAATACCTTCTGTCCACAAACTGCATGTAATGGTTGGTGGTCCTGTCCCCAAAAGATAAAGTTAAACATCAGTTTTACAATATAAGTAATTGTACTACCTTGAAAATAAAGAAAAAAAAGGAAGCACTTAGTGAACTCAAAAGTTCCATTTGCTAATGACTATTACACTGTTTGGGCTGGCCAGTTTTTCATGCATGCAGCTTGACAATTGAGCACAGTCAGACATTTGTATTAAAATGAAAAAAAACCAACCTAAAGGATCCACCCTTTTGTTCAATGGTGGATTCTTGTTCAATTTGTAGTATAAATTGTCATAGCTGGTTTACTTTAAAATTGGTTTATACCTCAGGATGGTATGCAGCAAAATGGTTGAAGGATGCAAAACTTAGAGAAAACGCCCTAAAGGTTGAATGGTTCTCCTGTACGTAGCAGTGTGCTCCAAAAATACGATGATCTTAACTATGGATGGCATGTCTGTGTTAAAATACTGGTTTGACATTGTCTGCATTGCACTATAGTGAAACGGGTGTCGGGCTGTTACCGTTCACAAAAATTTTTAAAAGAAACCTTCACCAAGGGAGCATCTTTGGACTCTCATATTTTTAAAACCTTCTGTACCATGACTTGGAGCTGGCGGAGTAGCCTGTGGACTTCAGCACAACTATCAACATCGCTGTTCAAGATATTACAATTTATGTCCATTCCAAGTTGTAAATGCTAGTCTTTTTTTCCAATAAAAGACCATTAACTTAAAGGTGGTGTTAAATGCTTTGTAAAGCTAAAATATATATATATAATTGAGATACTAAACCAAAAAAGCAGTAGGAGGGAAGTGTTTCTATGAATGACTTGCTGCTAAATTATAATGCACATGTATGCAATAAGTTATCCCCTATCTTTTCAAGATGGCAAGAACTGACCTCCTGTAACCCAAGACCTTTGCTATAAATAAATGAACTTGTGCTTGCCTTTCATATTACGACAATGTTAATTTAGTTGGTCTCAAAGTCGTGTAATGCTGACTCGTCAACTATCAGCACAGAAGTAACACCGCATTTTGCTAAAGTGGAGAGCTCTGAGCATGCATGTCAATACTGGGGAAATGTGTAGGTTGCTTATGTTTTTTGACAGGTTATAGAAACTAGTTGGAGAACTTAAACAGCATGGACTTCATAGATATCTATGATTCAAACATGCAGAAAATGCATTTCTCTTCCCACCCACAGAAAGAAAACAAAAGGATATTTCTTTTACAATATGTATTAAAAAAAAAGCCCATTTCCAGAAAGGCTTTATGTCTTCTCAGACACTTGCATGAATTTTGTGGGGTGGAGAAGAGGACTAGGGTTAATTTGAAAACCATCTTGTTACTTCTGCTTTGCATGCACTAGCAGTGCTTAGTCATTCCAGGTCTCTGAGTAGGTGTTCTCTGATGCTTCAGCTTCCCCATGAATGAGTGGCAAAGCAGCCGTGTGCACTCTTCTTTGTCTGAAAGAAGAATGCCTTTTTTTAATTTTTTAATTTTTTTTTTTTAAATAGCAGAGCCTCCATGTGAAGGCTTCTATGCTTGGGAGGGACTACAGCGTAATTACTTGACTGTAAGTTTGTTTCCAAACATAACTGGAGTTGCAAACCTTAATTGCTTAATTGCCTTTGGTTTTGGAGAGTATTGATACTATCTCTTGAATGAGATGCAAGTCTCCATTCATCCTGTCTAACTGAGGTGCCTGTGTTAAGAACTTGGTTGCTTGAAATACAGCTTTGCTCAGTGGGGGTCAAGAGACACCTCCAGAAGGCAATTGAGACTATTTGCCTTCAGTGACTATATATTATTATTTTCTTTTTTTCTGGGAGGGGGTGGGGGGAGTTCTGGGTGACTAGGGACCCAGACACCTTAACCAAGTGCCTAAAAGTTAGATGGGCTGAATGTAGGCAATTCTTTAGATCTCTGGTTGTTGCAAAGGCTTTTTGCTATGGCTGCATATGCTGTCCTAGCAAAACTGGCCAGTATGATGGGAATGTCTGACTACCATTTGAAAGTAGAGTCTTGCATGGCAGCTGCAAACTACTTTGGTAGGACTTAAGAATGGCTGCACCGATTCTGTAGACCAGCTTTTAAAGAGAATGTACTAAAGAGACAGGCAAGGTAGGAGCAATGGTTGCTGCTCTGAACTAATTACTTCTTCTGCCTGAGTGTGCAGAGAGATCTTGTCTAGTAGGTAAATGCTTCTTACCATCTTATCTGTCATTCACTCACGGTTGGTAGGGTAGTTCATTTAAGAACAGCTGCTTTTAGCTTATTCAGTGTGCTCTGTGCTTGCTAGCAGAGACCTCATTCCTGCAAGAGGTTCTTGGCTTGATTAGAAATTGTCTGGCAGTGTGCAGTGTTGGTATGCCCTGTAACTGAATCTGCCTGGAGGTATCTAATTATTAACTGACTTCAGTACCACATCAACCTCGAGTAAATGTATCCTCTGTACAGGACTTTAGCTTTGTTCCCTTCTGCATAGTGACTATCTAGAGAAATGAAATGGTGTCATCAAGGACTTCTTTTATTTTCTTTTATTTCCTTCTTCCCCCCACACCCCCCCCCCCCATTCCCGTGAGCGTGTGTGTGTGGCTTTTGCTTTTTCCAAATGTGAAAGTGTGGGCTGGATACACTTGGTGCATGGCTTAGAAACATGGGACTGGAAAGAACTTCCTGGGTCATCAGATCCAGTCCCCTGCTATTGCAGGCAACCGTGTCATATAATCCTTTTAATAAACTGATCAAGCTTAACCACCTGCTTGTAAGTGGCTTGTTTTCATGGAAGTTCTGTAACTCATGTTGCTTTCAACTGATGCAAGTAATATATGAAATATGAAGTTAATCATAAGGTCCTCCAGCTTAGCTTTAGGTTTACCATTACGCTTATTTAAGTGACTTTATTGAACCTGTTATTCTTTGCACAACGCTCAGGAAAGTGTTGAATCTTTACACCCCCTTGCTTTGAATAAGAGTTGGTGTGCTTGCTTCTTTTTTTTAATGGAAAAGATGGATGTCTGGCTTATTGAAATTTGTTAGATATGTTAATTGTCAAGGCAAGAAGCAATTGAGTTACTTGTATTTGATACATAAATTTAAGGCTAGAGTATACATAACCATTTTTAAAACATTAACTTGCAGTGTAGTTTTATATTTAATACTGAAATTGTACTGCTAAAATTTAAACTGCTGTTAATCATATTCCTCTTCTGATCATAATGAAAAAATAAAGGGTAAGAAAATGCTTAACATAGATTACTCATTATCATGCTTATTTTATTAATAATTCAGGCTCTGAAATGTCTCCAGGTATGGGGCATTTGTTTTTTTTCTGCTGGGGGGGGGAAAGGGAGGGTGCCAGGGGTGAGGAGGGAGGTAACTGATGTGATAGAAGACTTAGTTGCCAACCATTTGTCACACTTGTGCAGCTTCAGAAACACAGATGCTATCAAAAACTGATGAAGAAATTGCACTACACCTTACTGATGCGTTAGTGTGGGCACTGTATGGTGCTGCCACTGCCAGACCCCCACCCTGCCCAGGTGAGTGGGGAGGAGGGGGGACGAGGCTGTACCTTCATGTCTATGCTGAGTATGTGTGTGATGTGAATGCAGATCCTTGCTCCCAGGTGATACCATCCTGAACTAAATTATGGTCTTGGGGTTTAGAAGTAACAGTTAATACAGCTTGCTTTTCCCCTGCCTTGAAACTAACAGGAACGCTTGTCTTACTGCAATGTAAGGGGGTTTGTTGTTGGTTTGGTTTTGGCTTTTTTTGAGGGTTGATGCTTTAGGTTTCTTTTTAAAATTTAATTACTGAGTGAAATCTGTCAGAAAGGACTGTAACAGGGCTACAACATGTCTTCTGACCACAGACAGCTAGCCATCAAGAGAAGATGGGCAATGAAGGCTGATGCCATGTTTCTCCTGACTGATATTTAGGAAAGTAAATTGTATACTTGCATATAGAGCAGGGGGACCATTAAAATCAGTAAGACAAACACATAAAATTGTGTGGGGATTTTCACGTAACAGCACTGCAATTCCAAACTATTGAAGTTTTATTTTGAGTTTGTTTTGGGGTTTTGTTTGTTTTTTTGTTGGGTGTTTTTTAATCTGAACACAAGATTTTGAAGTAATGTATCAGATGATGAATTACGTATGGATCTGAGGCTCCAAAGATTCCAAGGTGGTGTTTGCTGTAGAAAATTTACATGAAGGCCTAAGTACTTAAAAAATTGTATGTTTTCTAAGAACCCCTATCAGTGGGTATCCTAGGAAAGCATTCAGAAGATGGAAGCTTCACTGACTGGGAAATCTTTTACAGTTCTCCTCCAAAGAGCCACTTTCAGTTGCCTCAGAAGTCAGCATCTGCAGAAATACTGAAGGAATTATTCATAGTGCAGCCTTTTCCTGGCAAAAACTTCTCCTAAGATAATTAGTGGTAGAAATACAATCTGAAAACTGGGCTAATCACCTAAAAAGTAATCAAAATGTTCTCTGATTTTTTTAATTTATTATTTCTAGATCTCTGTGATGTATTTGAAAAATAGATTCTTGAACAAAAGTCCTACTTGCCTTACCAGTTGCAGCATTTAAAATAAATACAGTATTTTTACAGGAACCAACAGCAACTAAGAAATCCATAAAAAGGCATTAAACAGCATTCCTCATTTTACTAGTTTGCAATGGGGTTGGCAGTAGCAATGCGGACAGCATAGTAAGTATGCTGAAAAAGGATAAGAGCAAAAGGAGTATCTGTGATGGGACTGCTTTGTAGTCTTGTCTCATGGAGTATTTGTTGCCCATAAAGCTATAAATATTTGATTGTGAGCTTCCTGGGCATTAAGTTTTTCTAGCAGCAGTCCTACCACTCAGTTTGTCTGCTTTTCCTCACCTGTTCCCCAAAGCCCACCCTGTGCTAACTCTACGTTTACCTGATAATATACAACCTAGAAAAGTTAGTTGTAAGCCTGCTGCAGTTTAGAATTTGCCAGCCATGCTCTGCTTCTTCCAAGCTTTCTTACAAGTACATTAAAAAGAGACAAAATTATTGTCCAGACATGCTGGTAGGGGACAAAATGTAACCATGATTTCAGACAGTTTTTTACTGAATCTCTTCCATTAACCAAAATATTTTAGCCCAGAGTACTTAGCTCCCTAGGAATCTGTGTGCTACATCATCAAAACTAGTTTCTCAAGGAGTTTGACACAAAATTTGAAGGATATTTTCTAATAACTTATTTGTTTCTTTAGATATTAGTAAAATAAAAATTTCTACACACATACACCAGATGCTCTGACAACTAATCAGTGTGCATGATTCTGTACATCCTACACAGCTGAAAGGAAAGTAGATTCAATCAGTAAATCAAGTCAGTAAGTAAAACGTGTTTTCACTACCAAAGAAGATAACTTGGTCTACACCACAGTTATAAAAACACAGCTAAAGTATGAAAATTGCCTTGCTGATTTATTTTCCATCAAATTAATTTGTAGAGGAAGGTAGATAATGGCTTTGCTAACTTGGGTTATTATTCTTTTCTATCTTAAACACTTGCAGATATGGAAAACATTATAGCAAAATAATGGTCCTAGGGCTACAAAACTAAGCACTCAAAATTTAAAAAATACCCAATTAAGGTTGTCCATGAAACTTCAGTTCGGTCTATCGCAGATGTGATTGCAAAACATTATGCAACTGTCTTGTTCATACTATACTGCCCACAGCATCTTTGCATCAGTGTATTAAATATTTCATTGCAGCTTTCTTTTTGAATGCATTATTCCATACCCTAGTTATTACCCACTACCAAGCTCTTATTCCAAAGACTGAATTACCAGTTTCTTCAATTTTTCCTGTGGCACTTAAGTATCCGAGTACTTCACAAATAATGCTTTCTTTTTAGGACACACAGTGAAGTAAGGACATGCTTTATGCTCATCAAAC